GAAGCGGACTAGAACTCCGCAAATCAACCAGATGCCTTTCATGCCTAAAGCGGGAGTAGAACCCAGCATCTCCTGGTGATTGGCCCAAAGTTACTGGGCTTTCACGGCTAAAGTGGGACTTGAACTCAGAATCTCCTGCTTTCTAGCCGGGTGTCTTAGCCACTAGACCAGGGGGTCAGCAACCTGCGGCTCTGGAGTCGCATGTGGCTCTTTCACTCCTCTGCTGTGGCTCCCTGTCACTCAAAATAGGCGTCACAACCGCCAATGTGTGACACCCGCTGGCACGCAATTTATTGAGCTTTTCAACTCTTGGTAGGCCAACCATGGATAAATCCAAGAAAAGAAAAGTTTCAGAAGAAATCAGAATGTTTAATTCAACTACATATACTAGTTTTGTGGCTGCTGAAGAAATAGTCAGGCACGGGGAGGATTTTGTGGCTCCCGGTGTTTTCTTTTCTGTGGGAAACGGGTCCAAATGGCGCTTTTGAGTGTTTAAGGTTGCAGACCCCTGCACTAGACCAAACTGGCTCTCTGGCTATGGCGTTTGTCCAGGTGAGCTGAGGCCAATGGGACAGTTCTCGAGCTGACCCCCGTCTGCAGGTTTCTCCCTGCACAGATACAACTTGTTCATTTAAATGTGGTTCAGAATCATAAAGTGATTTAAATCATAAAGTGATTTAGGATCTGTCTCCGGCATTAACAGCTGTCGACCCTCCCCGTGGTCATGTGATTGTAATTCAGACACTCGGCTCCTATTTAACGACAGTTACGATGTATTGCCGTTACCTGATCATCATTTGTGAACTTCCCAGCCAGCTTTCGACAAGCAAAGTCAGTTGGGGAAAGCCAGATTCACTTAGCGACTGTATGGTTTACTTAATCATCATTTAACGACTTCCTAATCCTTTGCGGAGTGGAGTCTGGGCAACTGAATGGAGCTGAGTGTTTATTGGCCGGATGCCCTTCCTATTGCCAATGTGGAGTTTTGTCCAGCAGATATATATACACATTGTGCCCATAGAGAGAATAACTGCCTCTACTTAGGATTGAACTCACAGCCTCCTTCTGATTCCTTCTCCTTCATTCTGATTGTGAGATGAGAGCTCCACCTCTAGGCCACCACACCACTCCCCTATGATTCACTTAATGACCATAGCATAAATAGTTGTAAAATCTGGGCTCACTCGTGGGATGACTTGCTCAGTGATCAAAATTCCAGTTCCAATTTTGGTTGTAAGTCGAGGGCTACCGATCTTTCCAATGTAATGAGAGGTCCCAGTGTGATGGGCAATGCATTCGGAGCAATCCGTTAACCTCCCCTTCCTCTCCCAGGTGCCAATGTAACGGCCACGCTGATTATTGCCACGAACTGGATGGGACCGGGTGCCCGTGCCAAAACAACACAGAGACCGGAGGCTGCCAGAACAGCGCCCAAGCTGACAAAAAGGACTGCTACAAACAACAGGTAAAGGGGTGGGGGTGGGGGCTGTTCTGGGTTCAGGCAGGGAGGGGGATCTTGATAGGGAAGGAAAGCCCCAAAGAAAAGGGCCCGCCCTGGAATCAGGAGAAAGGGAAGTTAGTGGCACAAAATGAAGGACCGTTTCTCTGGACGTTGTACAACGGAGCTCCATTTTTGCTGGCATGGGGTTGCAGGAGGCTGTCGCAGCCGAAAATGGAGCTCAGGAGCCCGTTTTCATTGGCAGAGCGTTCGGACCCCCAGAGGTGCCCCTGACACGAGTGACATTGATCTGGCCACCCCCCCCCCGGCCCTGCCCCCCGCCCCCCCCCCCCCCCCGAGGTCAAACACAACCCTGATGCGGCCCTCAATGAAATCGAGTTTGACACCTGGGATAAATGGAAGCCGAACAAAACCATTCACTGTCCAACAAATATTTATCGACTTAGTTATATTTATTTTATTGATGGAGCTAGTAACGGGCAATCCCGAAGGCCCGCCATCACAAATAACCTGGAGCACGTTACATTTCTTCAAAGATGATGAAATTTTGGAAAGGAATCATAATGACATTTGATGTCCGTTTTTGTGGTTGGAGTAACAATCAGAACCACTGTGTCCTGCAGTCGTTGCAAGCGCATTGTGGGCCTCCCATCAGCTTTCCAGACCCCGTTGCACTGATCAAAGAAGCAAAATAAATTCAAGGTCCACTAATAAGTATTACTGGAGAGTGGGAAATGACACATACCGATTAACCGGCATCTCTTAAAACCAGGAGTCTCCAAACTTGGCAACTTTACAACTTGTGGACTTCAACTCCCAGAATTCCTCAGCCAACTGGGGAATTCTGGGAGTTGAAGCCCACAAGTTGTAAAGTTGCCAAGTTTGGAGATTCCTTGTTTTCAAATATGGCTCACAAATTGAGTAGGAAGAAAAGTTCAAAATAGTTGGAATCGCTACCTATAAATCTGCCTGCCGGTCTTTTATTTTTCTCCCCCTTCCACAGTGTGCCAAATGCCGGGAATTCTTCCACGGGAATCCGGTGGGCGGCCACCAGTGCTACCGGCTGATCATCGTCGATCAGGAGAGCTGCTTCGATCCGACGTCCCAACTCAACTGCTTTCACGAGCCGAATATCAAGAACTTGCTCTTTGGACGTTCGGTTTTTTTCGGCGTCCAGCCCAAATTTACCAATGTGGACATCCGGATCACCATCGATGTGACCTTTGGTGGAGTGGATGTCTACATCTCTACCTCCTACGAAACATTTGTGGTAGACGTCGACCGGGCAACAGGTATCCACCTGGTGAGGATTGTCCCCTCGGGGGAAGAAACGCCGATGCGCAGTAACGGGAGCCAGTCCTCCCCGCTGGTACGAGAGGCGCAGGCTCACGGTTTGATTACTTACATCACCGTGAGGGAGCAGCAGGGGGTGCTAATCGTGCGGGGCGTCCGTGATCGCGTGGTCATCACTTACCCGCACGAGATCCACGCCCTGAAATCCAGCCGTTTTTACGTCATCTTGCTGGGCATCGGGGGCAGCAGCCCCAACGTCACCGAGTCTCAGGGCCTGCTCTTTTTCCGCCAAGACCAGGCGCACATCGACCTCTTTGTCTTCTTCTCCGTCTTCTTCTCCTGTTTCTTCCTCTTCCTCTCCGTCTGCGTCTTGCTTTGGAAAGTCAAGCAGTTCCTGGACTTGAGGCACGAGCAACGGCGTCACTTGCAGGAAATGACCAAGATGGCCAGCCGGCCTTTTGCCAAAGTGACCATTTATTTTGAGCCGGATAATTTGGGGGCACCGGCCGAGTTGGTTTTCCTCCCTGCTCGCCCCCACAAACTCCCATCCCTGGCAGCGGCCCAGCCCCTCCCCAGTCGCTTGAAACCCTATCACGAGGTCCCCTATCCCGTGGCCCACTTCCGCCGCTCGGAGCCCTTCCTGTCTCATCTCATGGGCTACTCATACTCCAGTTTCCGAGTGGGGCCAATCACTTTGGAGCCTACAGACGATGGCATGGCCGGTGTGGCTACCGTCCTCTTCCAGCTACCGGGTGGGCTGCAGGCCCCCAACCGTGCTTGCCTTGGCTCTGCTCTCGTCACCCTGCGCCACAATCTCCAGGACTACTGCAGCAGCAGCCACGGCATGAGCAGCTCTCGCAAGGGCCTGCTCAGCCACGAGAACCTCACAAGCATGTCCCTATGAGTTAGTGGAGAACTCCGCCCTGCTGGAGCCGAGATGGGCTTTAGCAATCTTCCTCTGCCTGGTGGAGGGGCTGAGAAGGGCAGAACCTTCAGGAGAGCAGGCTCTCTGGCTCGTACGGCGTCGCTACAGACATTCCTGCCAGCTGGAGGTGTGTCCGCCAAATGGAAAAAACCAGAGATGCTCTCCGGGATTTGTGTGCCTGCTCTGCTGCCCTCCTGCTTGGGAGGGTCCTGGGGCCAACTCAGTATGAATGGATGGTATAGGCCGCAGGAGTCTCGAACGCTGGCGGCTTTAGGACTTGTGGACTGGCTGGGCTGAGGAATTCTGGGAGTTGAAGTCCACAAGTCGTAAAGCCGCCAACGTTTGAGACCCCTGGTATAGGGGAAGCATGCAACGTGGCCCTCAGCCTAGCTCTTAATGTCTGCGTTTCCCCAACACGCTTAACCAAGTCCTAGTGTCCACGTTGGTGCAACATGCTCAGCTTGGTTAGTATTCACTAGTAGCTTCTTCTGTGTCTTCATACGTGTGAACCCCACCCCTTTTGTTCAGCTGATGTTTCCATACAGGGTGGAAACCCAGAGAACGAATCAGTTCCACAGTTTCCACCGAGCAGCCTGTGATCCAGCCCCGGGGCCAGGCTTGTCCAAAAGTGAGTCTAAAGATGGAGGAAGGATGGCATTTCAGATTGATTGTTCACAGTTTTGCTTTTCAAGCACTGTGTAGAGAATCTACTAGATCTCAAATCGCTTGCTTTCTACTCCGGTGTTGCTGCAGATCAATTGGCCGTCCCACCCCGCGGCCACCACAAACCCCGAAACACTTTTAAAGTAGTTGGCTGGCAATACTTCTCTTTGGATCAGAAGTTCGAGAAGGAGTAAACTTGGTGTGGAATGAATCATGTCAATCTGGAGTGTGGAGGAGCAGGAACAATCTCCTGAAGAAATCAGAGAAAAGCACAGTTGGGCAATTCCTCCGCCCGGCGTGCGGTTTTGTTAACATTAATGAGTTTTTGTGTTGATAAGACATCTCCCTTGCAAATGGGAAGAAGCAGCAGAAGATGTCCCTTTGATGCCTGGGAGATAATCGTGCTTGGGGTTTTGCGCAGCCTCTTGATCTTGAAGGGCTGGTTTGTTACAACGCCGGGCGAGCTGTCGCGTGGTGATTAAAGTTGTTAATCCCATGCTGGATGTGAGCGAATAAAACGGAAAGCCGGACACAGCAGCACATTCATTCCAAGCAGCTAAACTGGTGGGAATTAGGGAGCTGTGCTGTTTTTCGTTTCGAGGTGCCATTATCGATGCCGCTGTGGGGGTGGTGGTGGTTTCCAGGTGTGGCGCCGAAAACTTGGTAATGAGAGGGGGCAGGAAGATGGGGGGAGGATTGCTTTCACTTCAGGGTTATTGCCTCCTGCTGCATTCCCTGTGTGGATGCTGCTGTCTCTTGTTTTAAGCGTTTTTTGTTTTTTGCTCAGTCCGATGTTGTCATTCCTTCCCGACAGGTAAGTTTCTCTTCACTGGTTAATTGTGAAAGAAGGCTTCGTGGATTCAAAGATGGCTTAACAGGGATTTTTCATCTCGCGCGCCATCTGGCACATGGCACAGGGGCAGCAACAGCAGGTAGCCAGCCAGTCTCTGCACACATCCCCCTTGGAAAGAAAGGGGAAAAAAAATAATATCAGTGTTTCTCAATCTTGGGAACTTTCAGATGGGTGGACTTCAATTCCCAGAATTCTGGGAATCAAAGTCCACCCATCTGAAAGTTCTGAAGGTTGAAGGACACCACTATGAATTACCCAGGGTAACATCTTCTATTTAACTTACGCTCTATAGTAGCTGCGCCTTCCCAATTCCAACCATCTCCGATTCAAAATAAACGACAAAAAAAAACAACAACCAACCCATCTCCATTTTCTGGCTTCAACTTTTCATTTTTAAAAGATCCAGCGAGCTGTCTCCACGGTGAAACGGGAGATCTTGCTTGCCCGCCTTCCTTCCTTCCTTCCTTCCCTCCCTCCCTCCCTCCAGGAAAAATGATTTTCAATCAGCAGGAAAAATCAACTGCCACCCGATGCCAAGTGAATCGGATTACACTTTTAAAAAGCTAATTAAAATCTGCTCTCCCATTCTTGCGGGATTGCAATTTCCTCCCCCTTTCTTCTCAAGCCTTGCCATCCCGCCCAGCTCAACAATCTTCCTCGGGATAAAATTGCAAGGCAGGGGAAGCCCGAGAAAATACCTCGATACGGAGTTGCTCTCGTAAGGCTGTCCGGGCGGCCACCATTGCTCCTGGAAGAAGCGGCAGGCAGCAGCATTCACCAAGGCCCGTGGCCACTTGGCAAGCCAGGACACACGGAGCAAAGGTACCGCAGATGCCTGGGGAAGCAGGAGGGAAGCCGATGAATTTGACAAGCGCTCATCCCCACACGTTATTTTAGCGTCAGCCTTCAGCAGTGGTGGATTTCAAAAATTTTTACTACCTGTTCTGTGGGTGTGGCTTGGGCATGGCAGGGGAAGGATACTGTAAAATCTTCATTCCCTCCCTACTCCAGGGGAAGGATACTATACAATCCCCATTTCCTCCCGATCAGCTGGGATTCGGGCGGCAGAGAATAGATGGGGTCAGGGCCAGTCAGAGGTGGTATTTACTGGTTCTCTGAAGTACTCAAAATTTCCGCTACCGGTTCTCCAGAACTGGTCAGAACCTGCTGAAACCCACTTCTGGCCTTCGGACCAGCGACGTAAAGTCGCACGATGCTCCTCTTGATGATACAGATCTTGCATCTCGGATAATTAAATGAGTAGCGAAACAAGGACACCACCGGGGAAAGTGATAAAATACCGGCAGTCCTCAACTTACAACCATTTTGTTTAGTGGCCAAAGTTTACAACAGTGCTGAAAAAAAGTGCCTTATGACTGCTTTTCAACACAGCCGTTGCCACGTGATCAAAATCTGGACACATGGCAACGGGCATGTATTTATAACACTAGCACTGTCCTGGGATCACCCTTTTGTCATCTTCCCAGCTGGCATCCGACAAGCAAAGTCAATGGGGGAGGGAGCCAGATTCGCTTAACGACCGAATGATTCGCGAATCAATTTCAGTGATTCGCTTAACAACGGTTGCAAAACGAGACATGGCTCACTTGACAACAGCCTCGTTTAGAAACCGAAGCCAGATTTGCTTAACGACCAAACGATTCGCTTCACAACTGCAGTGCTTCGCTTAACGATGGGGGCAAAATGGTCGCAAAATGAGGCTTGACTCAACAAACGGCCTCGTTTAGCCACAGAAACCTGGGGCTCCATTGTGGTTGCAAGTCGAGGACTACCCGTAGCAGCATCTCTCTGGTGAGGACGGCTGGCCCGTGGTGCTACTTGGCAGACTCTCCAATGATAAGATTCATCTTAATCTCCCGGGGGGGGGCAGGCCTCAAAGTGGGTGCCAGGCCAAAGGGAAGGGTGGTCTTAAGTCTATCGGAAGAAAGCTTGATATGGGGGCGGGGAGAAGACCTGGGGAGCCTGTCCCTCCCAGGTTTTTTTTTTTTTTTTTTAATTTGATTTATATGCCGCCCTTCTCCGAAGACTCAGGGCGGCTTACAGTGTGCTGAGCAATAGCCTTCATCCTTTTGTATATTTATACAAAGTCAGCTTATTGCCCCCACAATCTGGGTCCTCATTTCACCTACCTTAGAAAGGATGGAAGGCTGAGTCAACCTTGAGCCTTGGTGAGATTCGAACCCTGCAGTAATTGCAGGCAGCTGGTCTTAATAACCAGCTTAATAACAGGGTGCCTTAAACCCCTGTACTATCAAGGCTCTTTGCAGGTTGAGTCCTCAGGAGATACTCACAAATCTGTTTGTCCACGCAGCAGTCCGTCAAGTCGGATTTCCAATCCCGGTACGGGGCCCGACAGGACGAAGGGTTGGAGGCGGATGGCTGGGTGGTGCATGGTTGGGTGGTGCAAGGCTGGGAGGGCACCGCGGGAAAAGACCGGAAAGCCATAGCACTGATGTTCTTCTGGTGATGCTCAAGAGAATTGAAGGGTAGCTCCTAAATTGTTTGTAGCTGCTAGTTGTCGTTGGGCGTCTTCGCAATCAGGACTTCCAGACGGCAGCACTTCTCTGAACCCCCAACAACTTGGAGATGCCAGCAAGCAACTTAACGGAGGTGGTGGGTGGAGCGCCTGGAGTTTAGGGGAGAAGGAGCTGCAAGGAACTTCCCAGCTGTTGCCGATGTTCTCGCAGCCGGGATTAAAAAGCTGCTGGAAAATGTAGGCACGGCAGTGGGTGTGAAAACCACCACCGTCGGGAACACCCTCTGCTCAATTTAGTCCGTGAATCTCACTGGCTGATTATTTTTTTTCTTTGGGAAAGGGGTGTGTTGCAGCTCCAAAGTCCTGCTTTTCCTCCTCCAAAAACACACACGGCAATGGGGGCTGCAATTATCGAATGACTAGGATGAAATCCGGTGCCTGTAGTCCTTGATTTATGACCACAATTGCCGACCAGAATTTCCGCTGCTTAAAACAGGGCAGTTAAAATAAATCACCGCCAATTTTTATGATCTTTTCAACCACGGGCTGTTCAGCAAATCGCCGCCAATTGTTTAATTAAATCACACGGGCATTAACACAATCCGGCTTGGTCGGCGGAAGGTAGGTGGGAAGGTCACAAGTGGCGATCACTTGATCCCGGGATTCTGAAACAGTTGTGGATGAACACACAACGTTGGTTGCCAAGGACCTGAATTTTGAACACGTGATCATGGGGATGCTGTGATGGTCGTAAGTGCGAGGACTGCTTTAGAGGCTGTCACTATTTCAACAATGTAACTTCCGTCAATAAATGGTTGTAAGTCTAGATACTCAGGTCATGGCGGTCCCCGTGTCCTTCCCCAGGGTGGGAAAATTACGGCCGACAATACAAAATGGAGGCTGGAGCGTGTAACTGAGTTTATTTATTTGAGTTTTATTTATTAATATTGAGTTTATTTACCTAAAACTTTGATATAGCCTCTATCTTGCAACCAACTCTGTCCAGCTCCCAATCCAAAGTAAAAACATCATAAAACCCACAAAAGTATAAAACTAAATGCATTAAAAATATTGGAACCATGAAAATGTGGAGACACAGTGGATTTGTCTGAAATGGTATAGGGCCGTGATGGCGAACCTATGGCACGCGTGCCACAGGTGGCACGCAGAGCCATATCTGTGGGCACGCGAGCTCAGCTCCAGCACACTGATTTTCGGGCCTTCTGGGCCCACCAGTTGGCAAACAGACCATTTCCAGCCTCCGGAGGATCTCCGGGTTGTGTGTGTGGAGATGGCCATTTTCGCCCTCCCCAGGCTCCTAGAAAGGCCCTGGAGCCTGGGGAGAGTGAAAAACGGGTCTACTGGGCCTGTTATTCCGATTTCCAATATGTTGTACTTCGGAAATCAGCATCGCGAGAAGAACCGACGGAAGAAAATGTTTACAGGTTAGGTTGAACTGTGGGGTCCTTGGTGCTCTCAAAGTTGGTTGTTAAAAACGGTCACTCATGCCCTCGTCACTTCACGCCTGGACTACTGTAATGCTCTCTACATGGGGCTCCCCTTGAGGACCACCCGGAGGCTCCAGCTGGTCCAGAATGCGGCTGCGCGGGTAGTTATGGGAGCAGCATGGCGCTCCCATGTGGCTCCCCTCCTGCGCGAGCTGTACTGGCTCCCTGTGGTCTTCTGGGTGCGCTTCAAGGTCTTAGTTACCACCTTTAGAGCGCTCCATGGCTTAGGACCGGGGTACTTACGAGACCGCCTTCTGCCACCAATAGCCTCTCACCGCCCAGTACGCTCCCATAGAGAGGGGCTTCTCAGGGTGCTGTCAGCCAAACAATGTCGACTGGCGGCTCCCAGGGGGAGAGCCTTTTCTGTGAGGGCACCCACCATCTGGAACGAGCTCCCCCCAGAGATACAGAAGATTCCGGATCTGTGCACTTTCCGCCGTGCCGTCAAAACATTCCTGTTTCAGCAGGCCGGCCTGGCCTAACTTTCCCTTTATATTGCTTTTTTGATTTTATTTTAAACTGGGATGTCTTGAATTATCTAGGACCAGAGTGTTTAGTATATTTTAATTGGTTTTTTTTAAATTAACGTTTGTATTACATGTATTTTTATCGTTCGCTGCTCACTGCCCTGAGTCCCTTAGGAATAGGGCGGTATATAAATTTAATAAATAAATAAATAAATAAAATAAATTTTCCTGCAGACTAAATTTAGTTACCCAGCTAGGTGACGTCATGAGTGCTAGCGCTGATTCTTAGCACTGATTGGTCTTACCTGTTTAGGCAATGAGACATCTGCAAGAAACTATAACCAGGTTCAGAGAGCACCAGGGATCCCACCGTTCAACCTTGAGCTACTAATATTCACTTCTGTTGGTAATCATCCTTTCAGGAATCTAGAACCAGTAGGACGCTACGTTCGTATTTTTCAAGGCCTCTGCTCTGTCCCCTTGATTTTGCTTCCCTATTCTTGCAAACCTCTAATCATCCCAAAAACCATCATGGGACACAAGTTTTACAATTTTCTTGAACATCAAAATAACTCCAGAAACCGGAAAACGTTTGCAAGGATGGTATGAAAAGTGATTAGCGTCGTGATCCCTCTGAACTCTCTGGAAAGGAGACCCCTTGGCAGGTGATCCAATGAAGTGGATCCCATACCAGAAAGGAAGTGCACTTCCATACAAGGCTTGGAGATCACCGCAGAGATGTTTCCGATCGGTAAGATAGCAGAACATGCTTCCTGAGTCAATATCCATTAGTCATGACCGTTTATCCCTGGGAGATCTAGTTAATCTTTCCATATTTACATCTCTTTCAAAACAATACTTTGACCAACCACAATTGAGTAAAGCTGGCTGGCACAGTACTAGACAGAGGATTATGAAGAGCTGCTACTCGTTGGGGCAGACTCTACATCAGTGTTTCTCAACTTGGCAGCTTTTAAGCTGGATGGACTTCAACTCCCAGAATTCCCCAAGCTGGCTGGGGAATTCTGGGAATTGAAGTCCACCCAACTTAAAGCTACCGAAGTTGAGAAACAATACAATAAGAAAGCAACTGCTGGATTTCTGGACAGATGTGTTGTTCCCTCCACCAAATGCAGCCAGTCCTTGACTTATGGCCACAATTGAGCCCAACATTTCCGTTGCCAAGTGAGACAGCTGCTAAGTGAATTTTGCCCCGTTTTAAGACCTTCCTTGCCACAGTTGTTAAGTGGATCGCTGCAATCCTTAAATTAGAAACACGGTTGTTAAGCGAATCTGGCTTCCCCATTGACTGTGCTTGTCAGAATGTCGCAAAAGGGGATCATGCGACACGCAACCCAGGACTTCAACCATCATAAATACAATCCAGTTGTATTTTGATCGTCATGCGATCATGGGCATGCTGCCACCGTCATAAGTGTGAATAACTGTCGTAAGTCGCTTTTTTCAAGACTGTTGTAACTTTGAACTGTTGTAAGTGGAGAACCACCTACAGAGTTTGTTGCCTGCAGTTAAAAACAAAATACCCCAAAGTGAGCTTTTATTCCCCTGTCTACTAGATTCTGGTGTGTGTTGTAAGTGTGAGTGTGTGGGTTGGAGTAACATTAAAGTCTCCTCCATCCTGCTTAGGCAGAGTGCAGCCCAAGGACGCCGGTGTCTTATTTTGCATGATTTACTTATTAAAATTAGGATGCTGACACAGCGCCATGCCACCGAATTAAAATGGAACAGCCCACACCTAAATTCTCATTTCATTAATTATTTTCAGCACATGAGAACCAGTCTTGCAATTAAGCTGGCCCAAAGGAGGGTAGCTCAGAGGAAGCGGCTCAGTGGCCATATCCGGATGTCAATTTAGATCATGCTCTGTCCTTGGCTTGCCAGGGTCAGCGGAAGGAGCCCGTTCCCATCCTTTTCTCACTGACCACAAAACGACTTGCCTGCAGGTTGTGACTTCTCAGCCAGCTTATTCCATTCCAACGTGGAATGGAATAACAGGGATGGAAGGGACCTTAGAGGTCTTCTAGTCCAACCCTTGCTTGAACAGTTGATCTAACACCATTCGGGACAAATAGTTATAATAGCATCCCACAGCTTGAAAGATCAAGATTTAGCTCTTGGAATTAGGGTCTCTAATTAGCTCTTGGAGATTCTCAATCATCCAGGTCCATGGTTGTCCCAAAATGTGCTTTTTGCAAGCGGCAACTGGACTTTGCTTGTTTGTCCTTAAAGACGTTTCGCTTCTCATCCAAGGAGCTTCTTCGGTTCTGAGTGAAACTGACTCTCTGAAGCCTCTCAGAACCGAAGAAGCTTCCTGGATGAGTAGTGAAACTTCTTCAAGGACAAAGGAAGTCCGGTTGCCCCTTGAAAAAAAAGGCACCTTTGGGTCTCTAATGGGCTTTATTAATTGATAGCTGAACTGCGCGAACAGAGAGATTCAAATCATTTGACAGCCAAGAGATGCGTGGATGTAAAACAGATTGTATAACAAATAATTACATGCGCTTGTGTGGCAGGAAACATCAGCCAGCTGTAGCTTTATCCTCAGGCTGTAGCCTACACAACGTGCTTAACAGGTCAGTGAAATGACAGCAACTGTATTTACACAACTCGCTCGGTATTGTCTCTGGTTCGTTTGTGGCTTAGCAAATTTCAGATAGCCAATTTGTTTACTTGTCAAAAGGGAATCGAGGAAGACTGTGCTCTGCACACCCAGGATTTGTGAGATGTGTGTCATACCCGTGTATAAAACCTATACACCCACACACGTTGATTAAAAAGCTGACCAATTTACTCTTAGCTTTAAAAAAAATGCAGGAATGCTGTTAATAACCAAACTATGCTAGTGCATATTCTGTATACTGAGCAATAAAATGAATTCAAGCAGGGAGGTTAAAGCCATTGTTTTAAAGTAGGGCCTATAAACTTTGGGTTTTTTTTAAATCAAGAAATGTATTAGTTATAAATTGATCCCACTTCTGTATTGATCTTCGAAACATTGAACTGTTTACTGTTCAAATGGGCTCTTTTTAATCCAGAATACAGATAGTCCTTGAGTTACGACCACAATGTCTGTTCCTGCAGGAAATAGAATAGAATAGAATAGAATAGAATTCTTTACTGGCCAAGTGTGATCGGACACACAACGAATTTGTCTTGGTGCATACACTCTCGGTGTATATAAAAGAAAAAAAATACGTTCATCAATGAAATGTTTGTTAAGTGAGTTTAGTCCCATTTTATGACCTTCCTTTCCACAGTTATTAAGTGAATCACTGCAGTTGTTAAGTGGGTAACACAGTTGTTAAGTGAATCTGGCTTTCCCCCATTGACTTCGTTTGTCAGAAGGTCGCAAAAGGATATCACGTGACCCTGGAACACTGCAACCGTCATAAGTGTGAGTGAGCTGTCAAGCATACAGATGTAAACCACATGATCATGGGCATGCTGCAAAGGTCGTAACTGAAAAACAGTCATAAGTCAGTTTTTTCAGGGCCGTTGTAACTTCGAATGGTCACTAAACCAACTGTTGTAAGTCAAGGACTATCCTGTAGTAGTTTTCCTTAGTTGGGCTGTGACTTCTCTTTTCTAAAAGAGAGCTTCCTGCTGCAGATCCATGACACAGAGCATAATCCTAAAAGATTCACCCCAAATTGGATAGCATATAAATGTAACAGTATTATCTCTTTTACTCATTAAACATGAAACTCAGTCAACTGAACATTTAAAAATGTATCATAAATATCATTGACTGATGCTAATGGTTGATACGGGTTGCTTCCAGTGTCCTAGATATTGACCAAGTACCTTCTTAAGATGTACGATGTTCCAAATAGCGCAGTTTTTTGCAGTTCCGCTGGTGTTATTGCAGGAAGCTGCAATTTGTTGATATATTTTATAAAATTCTTGGACGTGGTACCAAGTGCCCCGATGACAATGGGTATCACTGTTACATGTTTCATCCATAACCGTGTAGTTTGTGGCCAGGTTGCGATATTTCATGATTTTTTTTCCAGTTCTTTTTCTTCAACTCTGGCATCTCCTGGTACAGCAATGTCAATAAATTGTACGTTTCAGTTTTCAACAACTGTGATATCTGGCATGTTGTGTTCCAAATGACGATCCGTCTGTATTCGAAAGTCCCACAAGATCTTCACCTTCTCCTTTTCTATAACTTTTTCCATTTTATGTTCCCATGACTTTTTGGATACAGGTAAGTCATATTTTTTAATTAATGACCAGTGGATTAATTTAGCAATTCGGTCGTGTCTAGCTTTGTAATCAGTTTGTGTGATTTTGCTGCACTCACATATTAAGTGTGAAACAGTTTCAACTTTGACATTGCAAAGTCAGCAGTTTGGATTGTTGGTGGATTTTTGTATCTTCGCTTTCATGGCATTAGTTTGTAGTGCTTGTTCTTGAGCAGCCAGTATTAAACCTTCCGTTTCTTTGATGGTTCCTCTCTTAAGCCATGCTATGTCAAGTTGTTACCACACTTTCCTTCAATGTTTTTCAAGTGTTGTTGTTGTTGTTATTATTATTATTACAGTTCCTTGCGTGGTCAGCCAGATGTTTAATCTGGATTTGGCGTTTTTATCTACCTCTTGAGTCCTTCGCAAGGACTTGGGATAGGCAGACGTTGTTAGTTACCGTTGCAGGAGGTAAGCTGTCCCAAGTAGAGGATAGAAGTTCAAAGATGTGCAAAGGACTAGCTACACTGTAAAAACACTTCTTCCAATATCTGACTTCTTCAAAAGGTGAGGAAGGATGGTTGAAAGGCAGAATTTAAGATTTAGTATCTTAATAACTGCTACAGTGGCCGACTGACTAGAAGCTGAATGTGCTCTCATTGAAAGTGATAAAGCTGCAGCCCTTAGAAACACCGAGATACGGTCTACACAAACATGGCTTAATGCAAGGGTCTCCGAACTTGGCAACTTTTAAGACTTGTGGACTTCAACTCCCAGAATTCCTCATGGCTGTCTGAGGAATTCTGGGTGATTGAAGTCCACAAGTCTTAAAGTTGCAAGTCTGGAGATACCCCCCACCCCACCCCGTTCTACAAGCTAAGCAGGCCAGGATGAAATAGGGGGAAGATTACTAGAATCATAGGGCAGGAAGGGACCTCGGAGGTCTTCTAGTCCAACCCCCTGCCCAAGGTGTAGGAGTCCTTATATCATCCCAGACAAATGATTGTGCAATCTTTTCTTGAAGACCTCCAGTGATGGCGCACCCACAACAGTTAACTGTTCTCATTCTCAGAAAATTCCTCCGTATTTCCAAGTCCCTCAGATAAGCTTCCACCCATTTTGCTTCTTGTCCCGACCTCTGGGGTCATGGAAAATAAACTTCCAAAGCTTCTCTCTCTCTCTCTGCCAACATCAGGACTGGCATAGACAACCAAGCAGCCTCTGGGGAAGGATGGCCCAAAACACATGGGCATCACAGCCAGCCCTACAACTTCGCAGGATCAGCATAACTGAGGATGATGCTCATTTTAATAAGGCCACCGATGGGTATCAAAACCAGGGATTCTCTCTGCTGATTTAAAGAACAACAACAACATATGACATGCAGAAATAAATGGAGGCCAAGCTGCCCCAAAATTAGTGTCACCCATTTGCCTGGAATGCTTTGCTTGATTAAACTCTAGTTGTGGTGCATTCTACACAAATTAGGAAACCTATTTGGACTAACAGCACAGAGCAATCCGGAAATTACTCAGAGGTGCAGAACCACCAGTTGTAAACTTCTTTGTCCTGGGATACAAAACATTTTGAACTCGTGGCTAGAAAAAGTCCGTCATCACCACCACCATCCAAAATACTGTGGATAGACAGCCAGTTTGGCCTAGTGGTTAAGGCACCAAGGTAAAAAGCAGGAGACGGTGAGTTCAAGTCCCGTCCTTAGCCACGAAAGCCAGCTGGGTGATGTTGGGTCATCCCAACCAACCTCACAGGGTTGTTGTTGTTGTGGGGAAGATAGGAGGAGGAAGGGGTGTTGGAG